TTTTTTTTTTTAAACACCCTCCCCTTGGACAGAGATCGGGGTGAATCTTGTTCAGCCTAAACCAGCCCTTACACTTCCATTCTCCCTGCCAGAGGCTGGTTTAGAAATGCGTAAGCGATGCATTCGGGCCAAGGAGATTGGAGGGAAGTATGAGGACATTTTCTTTCCTCTTAAAAAAGGAAAGAAACAAGGAGTAACATCCCTCTTCTGCCTCTGGGGTGGCGGCGCGGGGGGTCGTGTTCAGAGCCGAGGCAGACGGCACGGGCCCAGGAGAGGAGCCAGCCGCACAGGACGGCTAAGCGCGGTGCACGTGCAACATGGAAAGACGGGGCTTGTTAACCACCTCGTTCTCCATGGAAGGAGCCAATATTGCATTTCCAAACTTTTCGTTGTGTGAGATAATAAACGCTCTTGTTGTCCCCGTCATTTTATTTGGCATTCCTGTTGCATGGTGCTGAGAGTTTCCTAGTGTACTTTTCCATCTTCTGTGCCCACTTCCCTTTTAGGAAAATCCTAGAGGAGGGACTGTTGGTAGGAAGAGTAAAGGAATTATAAATCAGGGGACGGAGGAAACCATGAGGAATCAATAAGTGATTAACTAGGTATTGCTATCTATTTATTATTTATAATCCATCCCTTACCTACTTTAAACCTTCAGAAGAGGTTCATATCACAGCCTTACTTTTGTGATGAAGAAAAAAAGCTGACAATACTAGATCATGAATACAAGATGGGGAAAATAACATATTTTCACAAAAGGAAAAACACACGTATTAGTCATGGGAGAAGAGGGCATCTGGCTTACGTGGTTCTGCTGCTGTGGGCAATGGCAGTGTCAGACAATCATCACAGGACATTTATGTGGGTCCTCTGATCCATCTCGTCTCAGGGAGAGATTTCGGGTGAATGGGAAGGGATTGCCCCAAAGTCCTGTAGGAGAACGAACAAGAGCAGGAAGCAAGAAGGAGGAAACTTACTCAGGGCACTTGCTGTAGCACCTGCCTCCATG